AGAGTCTATTTGTTTTATATGATAAATTAAAAGCAAAACAATTATTAATGGTGATGTCATCTTTGCATCTGTCCTCCCACAGATCTTAGGTAAGAACCAATCAAACTGTGTGTGTGTGTGTGTGTGTGATGCAGTTTATTACGTAAAACATATTGATTCATACCACTAACCTTTCTTTTCAGTCGCTGTACTTCAAACTTTGTTAAACAATCAGCCTTCGCAATAACTGGAACAATGTTTACTTTGGTATGCAGCATCTTCATGAAAGCAATGTCTATGGGTTTTAACCTACATCAAAAGATAATTAATTATTAAAAGATAATTGCTTAATTGGATTATACATTCATTTGATAACTTAGTAATCAGGCATTTCAACCCCATGAACCAGTAATCCTTAAAGATATGAAAAAGATTATTCTGGCATGTTTAAGGATCTCCAAATCCTTAAAACATATGGGACCTCAAACATTGTCACATACTTCTACAAAAGAGGCAGTTAACACTGACGTGTGTAAAAAAGACAATTTCATCTAGTGTCCAAATCACTGAGCTTGCACATCCCTGGCTCTTTGTGATTGTGTGATGCTGACCTGTCAAAACAGGCAACCCAGTGAAGTAAATCTTATTAACAATTAATGAGCGTTTACAGTAAATAAATTAAATGATTATAAATCACTAACCCATGGCCATGGGGACAAATAAAGTAAAGACAGCAATGAACCCTGTTGTCCACTATGTGTCTGCGATTGAGTCCTGATTCATCTTGCAAGTATGCCTCATATTGTTGATCAACATAATTTGTTACAGCTTGCCAGCTAATATGGAAAAAGAACACTTCAATGTAGCTAACAGTTGAACAGAGTTATATTAACCCTTTCACTTCAAAGATCTCGCTACCAGCCCCTCAACTGTCTTCTATACAATTCTTCTGGTATTGGATCAACTAATAATCCCCTAATTTACATTTTTCTTTATTCTTGTCACTTGTCTGCTTGATATTTTTAGGAGAAAATTCTGTCTTCAACATCCATAGGAGTTAAAGGGTTTACTTAATATGAAATTATAAATTCAATTAATTTTTGTTAGGGAACAGGAAATTTATCAGGGATTTTTGGAGGGCTGCGTTGTGTTGAGCTGAGCTGAGCTGTGCAGAAAAACCTCAGAGCACATTGCTGAAGGGCTTGTCTTGTTTGCCTGAGTGATGCTAAATCAAATTTCAAAATGGCTATTTCTATCTTTCTCTTTGTCAATCAGTGTCTTACCAGTCAGTGTTATCAACAGCATCAGCAAATCCAGGAGTATCAACCACTGTTAATCTTAAGCGGATGCCTTTTTCTTCAATTTCTACAGTATTAGTTTCAATTTCAACTGTCTGATGTATACGATCTATGAAACAAAAATCATTGGCTTTGCTTACTGGCTGATCTGTGAACTCTAAGCTAATAAAACATTCATGCATCAAATAAAAAGATTATAATCCATTTAACAAATGATGGATCTATTAGAGGACAGATACATACGTACTTCACCATCAACAGCATTTTGCTTTTTTATCATATATCTAGAACAAATAGATTCCATGTTGCTGTGGGTCTTTCCAGTAAAAGATCACAGACAACATTGAAATTTGGAAAAAACAACAAGGAGGTATACAAGGTATAGCTGAGTGTGTCACCTGGACCCATTGATAACTCCTAGGTGGAGAGGGGCATAGTGCCAAGAAATCAACAAAATGACCTGGTCAAGTCTCAAACCCAAGCCTCTCAGGGTGCAGTTCTGTTATGCCACAGCACACCCCAATTCAAGAACTAAGACAAGGTGTAAAATTTATGTCTTTGTGTCTCTGATTTCTTCTAAATTAGTGTTTTGCTATGAGTGAATTAATTTGTTCAATACTTTAAAAAAATGTATGGCCTTGAGAGCAATGCACCCTTCTTGCATGAAAGTCTTCTTTCAGTCAAATAACTTGATTACTCTTGTTAAGAGAGAAACTACAGTATTAGAACTTTTAATCTATGTTTCTATCAAAAGGATGCATAGAACAATTACATGAACTCACCAACTACTCTTGGAATGGCAGTATCATCATACAAGTCTGTCAAAAACAAGCTATCCACAAGAGTTGACTTTCCCAAACCAGATTCACCTGAATGGTGTAACAAAGATAGCAGGAGTCAAGCAAGTTTGCCAACAATTGGATAAACCATTCCAAGACTACTTATGCTAGACATTTTTAAGACAACAGCAATCTGATTCCTTTACAGGGAGCTTTAACCATCTAACTCTCATGAGTGACCAAGGCAGAATTTCTCTTTGCAATATCAATAGTATATTGATGAAGCAGGCAAGCAATAAGAACAAAAAGAATAAATTAAAGGATCATTAGTTGATGCAATAATAAATTATATGAACTAATATCATAAAACTGAGATAGTGGGAGTGAAACCTGGGTTTACAATCCCTATCTCTTTCACAGTGGAATCCTTTGGCCCCTCTTGTTGGTTATAGTGCATAACTGACTGTCAGCCATCTTATAAAGAGTGAGCAAGATTTCCCTTTCTAGATGTGAGGGAAAGGCAAACCTTGGAAGATTGCCAGAGGAAGCAGCAAGCAAATGAACTGCAGAACTTCTAAAATGGGAAAGGACTACTGCATCTCTTTCAGTATGGTTAACTTCCCAATTGCTGTGGCAATTTTTGTTCTCTTTGAGGAGGACCTGTTCACAGGCCACACAACTTACAACAATATGTAATAAGGAAATGACAAATAATAACTTTTAGGTATTCAAATAAGTTTAAGTGTAATAATCAGATGTATGTTCATACAGTAGCCATTGTGTTACTAATTATCACTAACATTGCTGCAAAAATGTTCCATTTACTTCATAACAAAATTAATTTTCTTTAAGAGAGAAAGGTAAATCTGGGTTAAGAAAAACCAATGGTGATGTTACAAATTTATAGACAACTGCCAAAAAATTTCCCAACTTTGTTTAAATGGCTTCTATAGTACAACTACTACTAGATATAAGAAATAACTCACCAACAACCATAAGGGTAAACTCAAAGCCTTTTTTCACAGATTTGCGGTGGACTTGATTGGGGAGATTTGCAAATCCGACATAACCAGGTTCCTGAAAAATACACTCAAACATGTAAATTATGTGAAGTAAATTTTATCTGGAGCCTGTAGAGCCAATATAGCACCAACTAGCCTCCAAATGGGCTGCTTTTGGAGTAAGGAATCATGAATTTAAAACATAGAAATTAGTTACCAGATTTCAAAATTTATTTTTCATTTTCCAATTTGTTTCTTTTGAAGCCCTTAGCAAGCACCCATTTCTGCACTATAGCCACGCCCAATCAAATGTTGATAAGAGAGTCATCTACCGTTTCAGAGGGTAAAGAACGAGAAGGAAGATGTTGCATATGTTTAGCTGGCATCAGCCTGTCTAAACAATGACATAATGTTCATCACAAGGATGAGTCTTTTTGTTTCATAATCCTTGTCAAGGAATAGACTGAGATTTGTATGAAAAAGCATTCTCCCTGTCTCAAATTATCTGTGAAGTGACAAACCTCACCACATCATCACCTTGACGAGTCAAGCCTAGTCTACAGAATTAGGAGGAGTATATGTACCACCTAGGCGCCTCCATGTACTAGTGTACAAGTTTTAACGTTAGCTGAGCAGCTGTAAAGGCTCAAGGTCTTAAGATTAATCTTATTATTCAGTTCTAAATTTGTTAAGGGATATCTGACTTTAAGTCTCGACGTTGAATCAAGAGAGACTTTCCGAAGCGGTAAATACGATGAAAAATTTAGACATATTGACATTTGACCGCAAGGTACATTGGTCGCCGCCGAAACGGATGTAATAGTGCTAAAGTTATGGAATAGCGACATCTAAAATTCAAATTATATCCCTATGTTGATTCAGAGTATTGACCGATATGTTATAAATAGATGAATATTTCAAAAAATAACAACACTAATAAATTGAACCTTTGAATAACCAGCGCATTTTAAGAACTACGCGAACAGATGTTAAAAATTTGGCTCGATAAGTGATATCTTATGTGGAATTAAGGTGTTACAACCACGCGATCCGGCTAGAAAAATAAATTTGGCTAAACATCACGAACGGAGATACGAATTAAGCATTTCTGTTTTCCGAGTACTTAAAGTACAATGCTCAATTATTAATAAGATTGTTGGATTTGTTAGTAAAAGGGAGGGGTAATTATTAGCTTAACTCGTCACATGAAGAGCGCGCTGTGTTGGCCGAACCTTAGAGCAGTAGTTTAAAAGCAGGCGGGATACGTATTTTGACGTTTAGCAAAAGAAAATTAGATCTTACCGGCTCTTTGTGGGAAGATTGCATCGTCCGCAGGCCAAAGAGTTGCAGAACATAAACAAAACATAAGTTTAACTGAGGTAATTCACATCTTGGAAGAATTTTTAAACTTTACATTCGAATCGGGAGATGTCAAAGATAAAAAATTTCAATGACAGTCACCATTAAAAGGTACAAGCGTTGAAAAATACCTTTCAGAGCTTCAGAAATAACTTTGCTTCCACGATTCGCTCTAGTGCTAGAATTCATCCTTCCTCTTCGCGGAATACTCAAGAAACCTGACAAGAATAATTAATCATTGGATGGTTGAGGAACGCGCAAAATTACCAATTGAATAGTTTATAGACAGTCTAATTTCGTTTCCAGACTCCGAAGAATCTGATTTCTTCCGGACGTTGAGAGGTTGGTCATATTTGTGGTCATATTTTAATCCACTTTCGACAGAAATATGAGGGAAATTAGGTAAAAAAAAAAAAAAGAGGAATATACTGTAGACCGTCACATATGGCGAAGGTGAAATTAGAGTTTATTCGACCGTGTTAATTTGAAATAAATTTCGCGCGAAAATGACACGCATCTCGTGTGACTCGCGTAGACAAACCTCGCGTGTTGTTCTAATCAACGTTCGCAGTGACTCACGGGAAACCTAGTCTTCTAATGGCGGCGAGAAGAGGCAAATGGAAAGCCTTAATTCACGACAACAACATCTAGACCCAGGAAGACAAAGCTCCTTTCAAAGTCTCGCCTTAAACAATGTGAGAAGCGCTTCGAGAGCGAGTGCTAGCTTCAGCGTAACTTCGCCGTTTGGGAACTATCCGGAACCAACCAGCGTAAATTATCGAGCAACAATGGTTTCGACAACTTCCACCCCGACTCCGTCAACACAAATGTCACCGTTTTATCTGTTACGGGAAGATACTCGTGAGTTAACGAATTTATTTTTTCATTTGTGGCTGTGTCTTTCCTGACGCTTATTCACCGATCTTTCAGCTCGTTTTTTTTTTCTTTTGCAGTGACTCCTTCAGAAGCAAATAGCAACCTTTTGGTAAAACATGGCTTTGACCAGACGTATCAGAAGAGCAAAAAAGTCAAAGAAGGATTGAGTTCGTTTTTACCGCATTTGCCTGGTAAGGCTTCCTATTGTATAATACAACTGTACGTGCAAATGTATCATTAATTATTTCGAGTGATTTTAAACCAAAACCTTGCTAATTTGAAATGGCACATTACTGAAAACACGCCAACGTATTTACCATTTGCGTATCGATAAGCAACATGTTTGAGAGGTATACTTCATGAAACTGACAATTCCGAGATCCGTAATATAGTTCAAGAATCGCGAAAGAATTTTAACAGGAAAATATGAACTCTTACTTTTTAAAATGAATGTAGAGACGGAAAAAATGTTATAATCAAATAGTCCACGCAGACAAGATTCTTAAACAGATGATCTTGTTTTCAAAATATCTGACAATATTCCTGTTCGATCATATTTGACCCTATGTCACACTCCCCTTTCTGCAGACAGCACCACTGGAAGAAAAAGAATACAGACAATTGAGCACTCGGAATGTATTCTTCTATAGGCACTAGCTGTGAAGCAATATAAATGTGTTGTTGATTAAGTGTGAGGTCAAGGTGGCCGGATATTGGACAAGTTTAGCTTGTTTAACTAGGATGAAGCGTGCTCCAGAAACCACATCTCTCCTCTTTCTCTGTGTTGAAGATCTGACTACCACACTGCCATTTTGAACCTTGCTTAGCTATTTGGCTATTAACCTGTGGAATGACAGAGTTTAATACCCCCCTTCTCCATCCCTTTTTTAACTCTTTGAGAAAATGATAGCCACAAGCAATTGCTGTCAAAACTGCAGAAGAAGATGTCCTTGTTGAGAAAAGTTACTCAAAATTTATAGAAGTCTGTATTGCTTACCTGTGTATTTATAGCAAGACACATTACCCTTTGCATGGGTGTTATTCTATTTATCCCAAGTGCTGATGAAAGGCTTATCTCGGTAGGAATCTCTGTAGTTTATCCCGCTTTCAGTAAAATGAAGCAATTAGGGTATTATCCACTTAGACTGGATGTCTGTCCATAAAAGGGATACTGACCCTCCCCCCCATCCCCTTCAGCATTTGGTCAGGGGTATGTCCTGGGTCAGGTGTGAGAGAGTCATGTATTTTGCCCAACACAGTGACCCAGTTGTGGATTTATACTAGGTCACTATTTGGTTGTAGAGTGTGTTTGGCAATTACAAAGAAGCCACTTAAGGGAGTGCTGCTAGAATAGGGTGGAATAATTTCTTGCCTAGTTTTAAATCATGTATATATTGTATAATTACATTTTACTGTTTATTACCTAGCTTTTTACAAATTCATAATTCAGATTTATGTATTTTTATTTATTATTTATTTTTTATTTTTATTTTATATCTGGCAAAGAGCCATACCATGGATGTACTGATATTAAACCATTATTGTTATTATTATTATTATTATTATTATTGTTATTATTATTATTACTTTGTGTCAATGTGTATACCGTACTCACTTGTAAAATTAAGAGAAGATTATATCTTTAGAACAGTAATATCTTCAAGATTAAATTACCATATGTTAGAAAGAAAGGACAGATAAGCATGTATTATACTAATTACTAACTTCTGGCTTCATTTTGTTTATTTATATCAGGTGTTCTTGATGAACTAGGAGGACCAGAAAATAGGTAATTTGTTTCCCTCTTACTCTTTTACTGTTCGTTAGTATGGCAAAAAAATTTGTTCTGATTTAAAATTTACAAGAATTGCTCCTTAGGTCTGCCAAAGGAACAAACCTATGAATGAAATGATCAGAAAGGAATTTGAAAGAGTTCACTGATTACCATTCAAAATGTTTCATTTACTTTCCTAGTCTTCGTTCAGTGGTAGACAAGCCTCCCATTGGTGGAAAGGAGCTCCTTCCTTTAACTGGGCATTCCTTGTCTGGATTTCGCTTAAATCCTGGTCCGGTAAGTATCATATGATTCAGCTTACAAGCATTTGCATGAAAATGCCAGTTTTTCAGCAGTTTCCCTTTAAAGCCTTTAGTAACTGCTATTGTTAATGGGCAACTTAGAGTAGATTGTTTTCCTGGACACCATTTTCAGCTCAAAGACAATAGTGCAACTGTGGTATTTTCTCAATGAAATGCCCCTATTGTTGATTTCAAATTGGCAAGGTAAACTTAATGTGAGGATTGTTATAATTTTTCTCTGTTTTAATCAGGTATTTTTTTTGTTACCCTTACTCAGAATGACAATATTCCCCCCTTCATCTAGTAGAAAAAAAATAGTCTCCAAGAAATAGACTTTTCTTGTGAACATGTGTATGTATGTGTTTAAAATCAAAATTTATCAAATCAGCAGCATATTCCAGCTTTCCTATTCAACTGAATTTAGGTACTTGTGAACTTGAGAAGTTGATGAAACTTCAGGGCTGCAATTAAACACCCCTAGAAGCACTTATATGAGGTTGGCATTTAATTGGTGTCAAGTGTTAGATGAAGAAATTACTGACTGTAATATCAATTCAATTAACTAGTAATTTCATAACTGTTAATATTGCTGCAGAGGTACAGTATTGTCACAGTTGCACTGGTTGAAGGGTGAAGTGAAAAACTACAAGTGTAGTTTGTATCAGAAACTTTGGCTCAGAATCATGGATGTTTCAAAACTTGTCATGGAGAGAGATAATTTATATATATTCTGCATATTCCAGATTCCAGAACAGTTTCGTTTCATGAGTCAGCATCCAGTGAAGAAAAAACACAAACATAAGAAGCACAAAAGCCAAGATAATGAGCGAAATAAGGAAGGAGGTGAAGCAGTCAGTCAGTCAGGTCAAGAGCAAGAAAAGCTAGCATCTTCCTCTACCGGTATGAAGAATTGTCAGTTTTGTTTTACTCATATTCATGAGTTGTGTAGTCCATGTAGTAGATGAATTGGGGAACCGGTAAAGAGATAGATGATGTAGAGGGGTGTCTAGTGCAAGAGGGTTTCAAATTTTGGTTCTTGGATGACTTCAACCAGCTTCAGTCTCAACCTAAGTGTTTCAGTTTCCCCTTTACACCTTTTTTTTTTCTTTTTCAGTAGAATATATTGTACATGGCTATGAAATTTCAGCTGTGATTTACCACAATGTATATTATGCTGGATCCTTGCTTTCATATGTCTTTCTCTGAGAGCGTATGATTACCCATTAACTCTATATCCTTGGGCTTCTAACATCAATCTGCCCACTCAGCCCAGCCCTTGTTCAGCCATAACCAGAGAAGATCCTTCATTCCTGTTCAATACAGTTGATGAGAAAGTTTATTTTTACTTAAAATATCACTGGTGGATGAGCTGGCAGCAGATTTGCGAGCTCTCTTATTTTTTCTCTCTATAATGTCTCTCTTGTGATAAAAGCACCTGTTATCAATTTGTTTGAGTAATATAAGGAAGGCAGGGAGAGACAAGAAAAAAAACTTACATCAATTTAAAGTTACCATGCCAATTTGTTGTGGAATGTTTGTTCATAGATAAACCTGAGGGTGCACATGACTCCAAAAAACACAAGAAACAGGTTTGTGAAGATGACTAGATTAAGAAAACCTTGATTTTGAGCTATTGTAATTCATGGTCTATTTACTATTTGTATTCATAAGATTATCATAGTGTGTATGTCCTGATGTTATTTTGAAGATATAGAAAAAAAATGTTTTGCATTCCTTATACAACATGCCTTATCTGTTGTGTTTGTTTTCCTATTAGAAAAAGCATGATGATGGTGAACGGAAAAAGAAAAAGAAGGAAAAGAAAAAGAAAAAGGTATCTCTCTATTTCACATTCAGTGCGGTCCATGATAAGAAATGTGTTGGGGAGAATGCATCACTGTCTGATAAATCCCATCTCTTTTAAATGGTAGCATTTATCATGATGGTATCATGGTCTGCCTATTATGTCATTTGTTTGTGCATTTTTACCTTTAGAGACATTTCAGCAAACTTGCTTTGTACTCAAAGTTGAAAAAGCTTGTTTTGCTATAAATAATCTGTGAAATATTAACCACATTGTAGAAAAATTTATGCACTGCATTGAAAAAATTGGAATTATTGTGTTGTGATTTTTTTTAAATAATAATGTCTTCAGGTTTACTGTTTTTGTAACAAAATTAATGATGAAATATTATGGAGAAAAAAAAATTTGTAACAGCCATATAGCAATTTATTGAATAATTATACAAGGAAGCTTCAAAGTTGTAACAATCCGAAGGATGGCATTTGCACCTTGCCCTGTTAAGTGGTCTCATTTCATGTGCATGTCCGGTCTTGGTTGTAATAATTTGCTGTTCTTTACAGGTGAAAGTTTTGTAAGCTTTTCAGTGATTTTGTTGCTTCTTTCATCATAATTTCAGAGGCACACACCTGATGCTACTCCTCCTGGGGGAGGACTGGACCCAAGTTGAAGACTGAAATGTAGAGACTATTTCTATAGAAAATAATGACAAAAATAATGACTATTTTAAAAATATTTACAAGTACGCCTAACTTAAGTTATGCCACCTTTAGGATAAAGAAAGACGTATATTTAGAAATACTAGGTTGTTTTTCAGCAACATTGTACAAAGTTGGTCATTGATAACTGGCTCCAAACAGGAGCTGAATTTAGGGAGTTGTCTGTAAGAAAACAGGAAGAAATCTTGTTTCATGTCTGTTCTTGTCATTTCATATACTCGGTAACAACATTGTCAGTGTGCAGGTTACTTTAACCCTTTCACTCCCAAAATCTCATTAGTTATGCTCCTTTTTGGGCATACAATTATAATGTTTGCCTAGAGAATTTGGTGTTGGATCAACTACTGGTCCTCTGATGGATATTTTTTCTTTATTCTCATCAGTTGTCTGTATAGTATTGTTTTGCTATTGTAAGGGAAATTTTCTCCCCGTCATTCATTGGAGTTAGAGGGTTAAGTGATAGGCAATGGTTGTAAGTTATGTCTTGTCTCCCACCATTAGAAAGCCATCATTTCATCTGAGTTGTGGTAGGTTAGGATCTTAAAAACAATGTGTATAGAAATAGTTTTGGAGATGAGACCTACCTTAATCCAGTTTTAAGAGGTAGTGCAAGCTAAAAGAATCTCCCTCCACACACTCTAATATGATTTGTAAGTATTTGCACTATGATGGTGCTTTGTAATGGAATACTTTAAGAAGCATAAACAAGCAGCTTCTCTGCCAAAAAAACCCATCAACTGTCAGTTCTTGACTTGGAATATTACTCATCTCTTATCAATCATGTCATACTTTTACATCAGAAATAAATTTTGGGCAGATAAGTGAAATGCGTCCATTTCTAAGGGTTATCAAAGTTGACATATGCATAGTGGTAGCAGTCTGAAGTGTGAGCCAAACCTGGCTTAACAACATACATCTTGGAGGTAATTGTGGAATGTTGAGTAAGCTGTGATGTAAACGAGTGATTTAACGTTCCTCTTATGGTACAAAATATTCTTTGTTAATCACTCAAGTTTAAGAATGAACAGTCAGGAAGTTTACCGCTGGCCAGCTATAGGTATGTCGTATCAATGGGCCATTTTACAGTTGTGTACTTAGTTGCCAAGTCCTTGATTTGTTGTGATAGAGATCAGTATCTAGTTAGCATGATAACAAAGTCATTTACATTTGGAGAGCTGCAAGGTTTATCATAACAAGGTCACCCTTAGCCTTACTCCTGTTCAAAGGCTTGGCAACCAAGCACGAGACTGTAAAATGGATTATTCTGATTCTGTTTCACCTCGGGGGAAGGGACGTCTACACGTATGCTACACGCAATTCTTGAACAATTTCTTAAGAGAAAACGTCAAATTGTGCATCTTTACTGAGATGAGGTTGACACTTGCATATGATACATATGTTGCACTGTTGCAGTGACATGCTTTCCTTGTGTTCACTGTTTCGTCTGTTGTTTAGAAAATTTTTTTTGTATTTATTTAGTTCTTCGTTAGAACTATCGCCATGATGAAGGGCTGACGCTTGGAACATCTGTTTTAAAACTCTTTACGGAGGCAAATTTACGTTATCAACTCAGTTGATAATACTTAATTACCCTGATATACTCTCTCAACGACGCAACGGCACAGTTTCTTTAGAAAACTACCCTCTTTATTCTCGAGTTTATTTCAGCTCGGATTTATGGCCCATGTGCGTAGCGCGCTGGCGATAAATCCCAGCGGAAGACATGCGGTTCTGTAACACACAGTATGGACCGGCAAAGTGATGTGATAAGATATTTATAACATCACTGGGTTAAAATAGAGGGGAATTGAATTCGAACAATCTATTGAATCTGGCGGGTGGTACAGTGAAATACGGCCCGCTAAATCGACCAATCATAAGAACGTACTTACTGGTACATTCTCAACTCAAGAACATCTACCTCGCCACACTGTAACTGCTGCTGGGCATCAGATACAGTTTTTCCTCCAGCTTTAAAGTGGTCTGAATCGAATCAGCGGGACTCTTCACCACTCTGCTTAAAGCCTAGCTGAAATTCAGCTCTTGATTAATATTTTATTTTATAATGTTTAACAGTTGTGAGGACGACGCCTTCACACTAAAAAAGGGGGAACGAAAAAAGATTCGGTTACGCTTTCGAACTGGCCTGGCTTTCGCACAAAACACACAAACATTTTTAAACAAAAAATTTTATTTCTTACCGGCAAATTGCATTTTAAATACTTAACTTAACAATGTTGCGAAAGATAATATACTTTAATATTTTAATTTTGCTATACAAGATATGTGCTTTAAGTATAAAAAACTGAGAGAAATTGACATTGAACTTTGACTTTATATGCATGTCTTTTTGCACCTCTCCCGAAATTCATTTTAAGGCCGGGGGAACCCCCCCAGAAAAACGATTCCACCATCACGGAAGCTCTCTTAAGCACCATTCGAAAGTAAATTTAGCTTTCTTACAACATTGTATCAAAAAGCACGTAACGGCTTCCTCAAAAAATACATTAATAACAATAATAAAGTTCATAACGAGAAACACAGAAAGAAAATCACCAAACCTATTTTTTTTTTCTTCCCAATAATTATAAAAGAAAATTATGACCTTCTTTGAACTTCGTGGTTTGGCAATTACAAAAATATGTAAAAAACAAATCAAAACAAAAAATGGCTATTTTCCCAAATATTCCTTCAATGTAATGTTTCCTGCGAAAAGAGTGAAAGAGCACAGCAATTGAGACCTCATGTCTTCGTCATATGTACTCTCTTTAATGTAACATTAAGAATGGACGCAGACAACTTAAAAGAGCTGACAGATCTGTAGAAGAACACGTGGTCCTAACATATGACTAAAATCTCTTTTGTTTCACTCTTAGACTTAATTCTTTGACCTCAAAAGGGTATAGCATCTACTTTCTCTTCAAAAGCTTCACCCCTTAATTTAACATCAAGATCCCGAGAATAAAGGAAAGATCACCCATTGAAGAAGCTCTGGATTATTAAACAAATTCTCCTTGTCAGTACCTTTGGAAATATCTAAAGACCAGTATAGAGAATATACATACTGATGCTGGGGTGTAAAGAGTTAAAGAGAGACTGGCTAAGAGAACTATACGATCAAGATGCTGGTTCACGAATAATGTCAAAACAATCAATTTAAGGTGGCGTGTATTTCAGATGATGACGCTTTTGATGTTTTCTATAAGTTTTAGTTGAGACATGTTTTTGTGTGAAAACGATAGTTCAATCAAGGTGTCTCTTGCTTTGTTGTTCTCAGTCGAAAAATACCCTCCGTCATTTGCATTGCTTTTCAGGCTTGCAAAAAAATTGCGTCGTTTTGTAGTCATTTTCCAGTTTGTCAATACCATACTAACTCAGCAGTCTGTGAGGGGTTCAGAAATAAGTCATAGTAACGAAAAAGAGCGGGAAAACGGCTCAAAACTTACCACCATGGGTCTTCCTGTAGTTTCAATCGGTAACATAAGAGTAAATGCCACACAGACTAATGACGTCACACCATAAACACCTAATGCCAAACGTAGTGAAACTCTGAGCAGCACCTACAACACAAGAACACGTGATTATGATTAAGCCAAGATCCACGTTCTTACTTATCAGTATTGTAACTTGTGTCCTCATTATTTTAACTGAGCCAAGATAGTTGTTTAAAGGATCTCCGCCGCCAACTATGATTTGAAAACAGAGTCGCCGTAAACAACCTGGAACCTTGCGAGTTCATCTTAGTGTCAAATGAGACCTTTACAAAACGGCCGCAATTGGTACAGAAACTGTGTCGATTCTCCTTAACGAAGGGCTAACGCTCGAAACGATAGCTTCAGAATCGCTTTACGGTGGCCAATTCACACCGTCAGCTTAATTGATAAAACTCTAAAGCATTTAGTTTTTACCTTGAATTCTCACAAGCCCTTGAAACCGTAGCACTTTCCTTGAGATTGCCGAGGTATTGACATAACGATAATGTTTCGAAAAACACTGATGAAAAACTGACTGTCATAGAGCAGGAGCATCTCAGCATCTTACTTACGATGAATTTAAACGCCATACCTGTGATATAAAAGGCGTCACCATTGCTCCAATACGTGCCATTGCGCTGCAACATCCCAAGGCCAAGGCACGAACTACAGTGGGATAAACCTGTTATCAAAGGAACATCAAAGGTAAAAACATTATTCATGACCTGTGTGTCTACTTTTGACTCGTTCCCAATCGGGAAGAAAATAAGGAGGGATGGAAGGCCAAAAAGGAATAATTTCTCCATCAAACTGCACGCTTCCTTGCCGAAGGCTCTTCCAATCTTCATGATGGTCTTGCGAAATGCACGATATTTTAGTTATTTGCGTCACACAATAAGAATAGCAGAATTAGTAACAGCAATTGAGCTATCCTGAGGCAAAACAAGATTTTAAGAGGAAAATTTCAAAAGCGAAGAAAACGTTTTTACTTCTTGAGATGTTTTAGGTAAGAGGGTTTCACGCAGTGAATCTTCCAATTAGAAAAAAGCCTCAGTGAGAAAAAAAAAGGCAAGAGGAAAATATGAAACGCCATCTACTGTTAATCTGATTGTGTAACCAATCGGTATACGTTTGAAAGACTTTTAAATGACTGTGAATATATGAAAAAGATGTATGTGATCTGCGGATAGAGAAATGAATATGAAAGCCATCTTTCCAGTACTGAACACTACTCTAGCGGTAGTGAAAATAAGGCCTGAAAAAAATTCAGGCCTGTACAGGATTTGAACCCATGACCTCTGCGATACCGGTGCAGTGCTCTCCAAAGATCGCTTTCATATTCATTTCGCTATCCTGCAGTCATTTTTTCATCACTTCAAGGGTTTATTTGGAACCAACATAATGACCAGCTCCCAGTTGTCTTGTTAGCTCAGCTAGTCGAGCACTACACCGGTATCGCAAAGGTCATGGGTTCAAATCCCGTACGGGCAAATTATTCGTCAAGTAAATGAAGCAGGCGTTCTTTCTATCCTCTTGTAAGGTTTTCTAGGGTTCAAGAAGTTTGCCTAATTACCAGTTAAGTCGCGTTAGTATCACCGAACATTTACTGATCTGTTTGTGCTTTAATTTTTGATACGAACCGTAAGGACGAATAAATATTCCACTGATTTTGCCCTTCAGGAAAAAGGAGGAATGATATTTTCATCGTGTCGGTTTTAACAAGCCAAGTTCTCGCGTTTTGAAAACAAATAGAATCATCAATACTCATAAATAGGTTAATACAATTTACCTCTGGTGTGTAGACATAAAATCCTTGAAAAGCCCCTGATATAAATCCTCTGACCCCAAATATAAACACAGTCATCAGAGTTCTAAAAGAGAAAGAATAGGGGTCTGTTTCTGCGAATTTGGTCAAAGTCACTTCCGGCCAAGAATTGTATATCATTTGTGATCAGAGTTTTTTTACAATATTACCTTCCAGAACAGATGAAAAGTAAAAAGTAACACATTGCAGTAAGAAGGAATTGTACGGCCATTGTTTTCTTTCTTCCAAGTTTCTCTATACAAAGCATGGTTACAATGATACCTGTAGCAAAAAAAAGCAACTCATCATTTCAAGACTAGGTTTGAAGTTTACATGTTTATGTACTAAGCTGTAAATAAAATTAGTGTTAACATTTGTGGTAAGAAAAGAGAAATTTTTGAGTAAACATTACAGAGAAAAAGTAAGCAGCAAGGGCTCTAACACTAGACCTTTTAGCTCGTGAGGAGAATTTTTATCCATTTCGTCAAGTATGCACAGCGTAAAACAGTGAATGTGATAACAACTATAAACTTGCCATTCATGCATGCATTGCGGGCCTACACTTATTCACTCACCCACTCACTAACGACGGCAATATGGCTAATGTAATTAAATTGTACTAACCACAAAAATGGTTAATCATACTAGCCTTATTACCAATTTCAACTAGAGCCTATGGTTTATGTTATGCGAAGCAACTACCGTACATGTGGCTACAAGTTTTGCCAGGAAATAGCTATAGCGTACCTGGAAACTCAGCGAGTGTTGTCCACATCATGTCTGTGTAGTCTGTTACAGTAAGAAGCTGACATCCGCAATCAGGATTCTTCACTGAATTACTGTCGGCTGCAATGTAAACACACCCTTAATTAATCATTTTCCGGGTAGCAAATTCATGCAATGGTACAAGAGTTTGCGAAACTATCAAAGAAGTGGTATTGTATCTGGGTAGATGATTGAAAAGCTGATTGTACAGAACAGTTGAAGTTTACCTTACTGCACTACAAAACCTGCGTATAAAAACCTGTTAGGCTAAAATTTCCCAGTTAAGCACCCATCTTATAAGAAGCACTCTAGGCTAAAATCTCAACAGAGATTCTTATTTTTAGTATGTAGAGTTTGATGCATGTGATACAAAAAGGTAACAAAAACTATCCAAAACATCGGTAGTGTTAAAAGACCACAATAACGTTCTGTCAATACATCCATAGCTGCGTAACATATCCAACTATGTACTAGTTAATCATGTAATGCAGGGCAGTATGAGGCTGGCATATAGCAAGCTGTTTTTTTTAAATAAAAATTAAGAACGTGATTAGGAACCTAGGTAGCCTAATTTCACAGTAAACACCATTCATATAACTTGAAAAACCTAGGTTCGTACAAGTGGTTTTTCACTGTATTTCACTTAAACCAATCAGTTTTTGGGGTGGAATTATACTATTTTGATTAACTGTTCTTTTTCGGTAGAAAACCAAAATCAGCAATTTTCTGCATGTAACTGGTTTTTTCTTTCACAATGTTGATGGGCTTACAGAGTCAAGCAACTAACCTTATCTTAAAGGAGAAACTCTCAAAAGAAACCGGTCGTGTCGGTGGCGTGTATTACAAGATGATTTGGTTTGATCAGCTGAATTGATCGTATGAACTGTTCACTAAAAGAGTTTCTAAAACTGACGTCTCAAGCGCTAGCCCTTTGTCAGAGCGAGTGTTATGTTAGACTTGCATGTTTATTAGCTGCTCTTAAGGAGAAGCCTGAGGTCCTACTCCAAACAAAAAGAGAAGACTGGACTGAAGAGAGAGGCAAAAACTGAGCCAATATATGCATCTACATGTATCAATGATGACGGTCTGAAACAGGCAGCTGCTTTCTATAACTGTGTTGGTACATATTGTAATAGCTGAGAAAGTTGGGGTTATTTCACCATAAAGGGGGTAAGTTTATGAAGAAGTTGTGATGCTGTGTCGGTGAGAAAGTAAAACCTACTGTAGGTAGTATAATCAACTGAGCTGATAACGCAAATTGGCCACCATAAAGAGTTTAAAAGCTGACGTTTCGAGCGTTAGCCCTTCGTCAGAGCGATTGGATCACTCTGGCGAAGGGCTAACGCTCGAGTCGTTATTTCATCATGGTTGCTTTACAGAGAGGTTTGCTAATCCATTCATGTGTTGAGTTCTCTTGAAAAGTGAGCCTTTGATAGTTTATTACCAGTAAATGGATATTAATCATGTAGGTTTTCACGTTCTCTACTAACCGTTACAGCTTCCACCACCAGATTCTTCAGATTCATTTAGCCCTTGGTACATTTCCGTGGTCATTAATACTATCCCATAATATGTGAAGGCCAAATTAACCCTACAGATAAAAACACTTGTTAATATTTTAAAACCCACATTGAAATCAAATGAAGCAAATTAGAGTAACCTTTTTACGTCTTGTTATTAGATTACAGGTGGTTACTTAGTTGAGTGGCACTGGCTAACAAGCTCTATACCAATTGCACATAATTATGTACAACCAAAATTTTAATGTACACACATGTCCTAGAAAGTATACTTACCATATGAACCATAGTAGAATTGTTGTTTTTCTGTATTCTGGGCTAAACAAGTCTGCAATTCTTCCTTGTTTTCCATTCTGTTAGGAAAAAAAACAACAATAATAGCTGTTACAGTAGCAGCTGCAGGGTAAGAAGATCTACCTGTTAGTGATGAGCTAACTCCCTGTCTCTTATTTTACTCCCAACATACAAGAGATTATTGTCAAATTTGTTCAATTAGGTTGACTTATAGGAGCAACAACGCAAAGTAAATTAGAAAAGACCTCAAAATCCAGACCTCTGAAATTTCCTACTGGAGCCCGCTTCCCAATGAACAGGAAAGCCTCCAGCTCTTCACATTTCATGCCTGCTACTCTAAACTTCCCATTTGCACTAAGTTTTATTGAAACCACAAATGCAAGCAACTTAAAATGCATGAACAATTTTCAAAATTCAAAGCATTATTACAAACAGTTAAAAAGAATTATACAATAACTGTAAAAATTCTGACATGCTCATTGGTTGAGCATGCCTCATCAAATCTATTTGTCAAATGGACAAGAAAAATTGTGGCAGATTTGTTGCATAAAGCAATTCCACTAACCTCGCCTGCATCTTGGAGATATCCACAGGGCAATTCTTTCTTGTTTGTTCTTGCTGCCTTCTGGAGCATTATCAATGCCTTCTCTTTTTCACCAGCAGTTACTAAATATCTAACGGACTCTGGAAGCCACTAAAATAATAAATTGATAAAAAAAAATTAAAAATAAAAATTGCAAAATTAGTAGATGTACATTCCTTTCGCAGACACCTTACTGTAGTTTCCCTGTCAGCATCTGTGAAGAGGTATCAACAGCATTTCCTTTTTTATTTTTGTGTAACCTAAATATCAGATTTGTTGCAACTGGGATATAATTAACCATGTCTTCATACAATCTGAGTGGTTCTTTTCTGGATGATCATGCATCAGACCTAGGACCAAACATTTCTCTTCTCATGAGAGCAACAACTATTTGATACAGTCTGTGTATAAGGGAAACTGATGGAGATAAGATTGCATTCAAAATTTGTTCCTAAAAATAAAACCAGCAAATGAATGCAATTTTTCTCAAACTTTAACAATTAGTTAATCATCTAATTGGAAAAGGACAGACACATGAAATACTTACAAAACTCATCAAAATAAAGCACAGAAGAGGTAAAGACAAAATTCCTAACAACCACCTCCAGCCCAATGTTGGCATCACTGCCATAGCAATTCCAACTGTAAAACATGATCCTATCGACCAGAAAAACTGTGGAATACATTCAAAAGGGAGTCAGTTTCAAGTATGTTGACAATGAGCCTTTTAACTACATTTTTAAAATACATTTATCACATAAATTGGTCAGGAAGTAAACTTAAGAAATTCCACCATGCAAATTTTAGAGTAGGTAAGACCTTAGAATTTATCCTGTCAAATATTTTGGCTAGGTGAAGTTTGCCTTGATTGTGCATAAGGTTTCTCCTTTAATTTTGATTTGAAACACTAGTACATCTGTATACAAAAACTGTCACCAATATTTGATCAACTTGCCAACCAATTTGGATGACTTCCAAAGTATGAAAGGGTCTGTTTAATTACTTCATGCACATGTATTATAAAAGTTATTGTTAAATGCAAATGAGGCTCAACACTTCAGAAATACATTATAGGCTGACAAATCACTGAAAACAAACTATCATTACCATGCATTGACAAAAGAGCTGCAAAATGTATCAAAAAATATAGTAACATAAAAAAGAGAAAGTATGAAGTTGAAGATATAATTCTTACTGATAATGATAAAATGCAGTATGACCGAGCACTGGAAGGAAGAAACTCAGCAAGGAGAGTTGTCCTACAAAAATTTCAAAAAGAAAAAAGTAAATTGAATTACTTTAAATTCTTCTTGCTACTAGTACAGTGATGATGGAGGGCTTTTAACAAAGTCCATTTTTCTTCTTTCATTTTCTATGCACAAATACGTTACTTAAAAGGTGGACAATTGTACCAAAAAAAACCAGGTGAGCCTTGTTACCAAGATTTGAGAATTATCATAGGCTATTCTTATATACATCTTGTTTGGTCAGAATAGTTGGATCCTGGTGTTGATATAACATAAATTAACAATGTAACTTGAACTCATACTTGATCAATAACATATAATCATGTGATAGCATAGTTTGATTGTCTGGGTGAGTGTAGTCCTGAGGAAGACTGTTGTCGGTAGTGGTGACTAACATAATTCAACAACCTGAAAGGAAGTCATCTTCAAACTACAGTATTACTACCTTGGGTTCAAAGCATTTACTGTATAACATATAATCATGTTCAACTTAGCAGTAACTGTAAAAAAAATAATCCTTAGTAACAGTTTTTCAAACTTACGATAATGGTGCACCACCAATTCCGAAACCAACCAAACAACGTAGAGCAATGATCCAGTAGTAATGAGGAGAAAAAGAGCTGATAAATCCAAAATAAAATATCCAGGTGGCACAGATAACAATTACCTGTATATACAGGAAAGAAAATCTGAATTGAGACCTAAAGTTAATAACCATTTAGCAAAGTTTTAGGCAAATTGTAGCAGCAGTAGAATACTATCAGGCAACATGAGGAAAATATTGTCAAGTGAAGGAAAAATATTTTTAGTTTTGCCATGGAGATCAAGGCAGATTCACCTCATCTAATAACTGCTCATTACAGGGGAGCTTGGACTGGTACATGTGCCATTTGCTTCACACAAGTAAGAACTCTCTAGTCCATCTCAGGTTAACCTCCCCCTACCACATCCTCCAGTATTATGTCAGATTTTTCTGACAGTCCACCCTCTCTCCTGGGTGGAGAGATGCACTGCAGTAGTCCAGAACCACTATGTAACCACTCACTTAGTGTGCTAAACCAATAGTCATAATGAAATATAATTACAGTAACTATCAAATTGATATTAATATTATCATTATTGTTGCATTACTTACAGTTTTCCGTCCATATCTATCTGCCAGCCATCCCCAGAAAGATGAACCAAACATCATTCCAACAAAAACAACCTGTAATTCAACAGAGTTAATAACAATAGTTACCATACTGATGAACAAACCAGTTACTTGGGCCATCTCAGAGAGCTTAAAATCCACTAACCTAAGTGCCTCTAAGTGCTTACATGTAATTTCTTCAGTGATGCTATAGTTAACACTAAAAATAACTTGATTATAAAATTAACTACAAACACCATCAAATTCATTTGTTGCAACATCCCAGTCTAAAGAGTGCATGTACATGTACACTATATCATCAAACTGGTCTCTACATTCTAGATGAAAAACTTAGCACTCAAAGTACATGTAGTTTTCAAGGGCCGGACAACTAAGTATCTTAGACAAAAGTCTTTAACCCAAGGTGAAACAGAAGTGAACATAATTTTGCATAGATTGGGTTTTCATAGACATTCCCTCCCTTCTGTTTCACCAAGGGGGGGAGAGGGAGGGGAAGGGAGAGGGTACCAGTACATGTAGGCTAAAGAGTCTTCAGCATTCCATCCTCTTCAGAGCATAGCTTTGGCAATACTGCCTGCCACATTTGAACTCATCAATCACTACCCCCTTTAGTTTGGCATAATTCCCACATGATCATACCAATGAAAGAGAATGCATGAATGTTGAGTATGAAAACAATTTTGTTTCTTTGTAAACAAGTTCTCTGGTTTTCATAAAAGGTGAAGTCTGCCAGTTATTCATTGCTGTAGGAGAATGTTGTGCGCTGAAGCAAGTAAGAATAGAATTTGCGGGTTTAAGTATTAAATACATTATTTTGTTGATACAAGGTAAAGGTCTGAAACTTACAGTTGTAACCATGGCCTCTTTCCAAGCTGGAAGGTGCCATATACAACGTATTGTTGGCCCAAGAATAGAGAGTAGCATCATTTCCAAGGCATCAGCAATCTAAAATAATTATGACCACACAACTTAGTGATGGGCTCAATCAGCATCAAGTAATCATGCCCTCTTGATTACCAACTGTCAGCCCTTGTGATTCAGAAAAAAATGCTGTCACTGTCTACACCAATCATCATTCAGTAATTTTGCCACAAATATAATAATACCATAAATCATATAATTTCATAGGTTGTAATTTATTAAGGAACTGTACTCACTGTGAAAAAGCCAACTATTAACAACATTTTAATTTGAAATTTTCCAAAGCCAATCTTCTCCACTGCTTCAGATAGTGTATAAGTTATTTCCCCTGAACCTGTGGAGAGAACAAAAAAATCATGAAATCTTAACAATTTGAATACTTTTCACAACTGAATCTGTGATATGTGTATACCTGTAAACATCTTTTCCAGGAACAGACCTCCAAATTAGAAACCATAAACATAATTTTCAATTTGAAGAATTCCAAATTTAAAAAGCAAGCTTATAAGTCAAATTTATACCACTGATACTCAAGTTATAAAATTACAAAGGAACTTCAATTTTCTTGCTTAAAATTATGGCCCTGAACTGGGAAGCCCACTGACCATAAATCTGAGCAGATAAAACAAGGGTCTTGACTATAACTTACAGTACAAGTGAGATATTACAAGATAATTAAGATATGTGCATTTATCAAATCTCAAATAAACATGCATCTCAAAAAAACACACACCCCAACTTGTCAAGCAGAAAAAGGGTATTTTTCACATTCTTTACAAGCTAAAAGTAATGGCATATATGTACCCTAACTGTGGTTCAGTGCAGTAAGGAAACATACATGAAAAGTGAACATAAAAATACCAGGATATGAAAAATAATCTGCATATTTAGTTAATAATATGCACAATAGAAAACTTCCACCTCTGAAGTAACATTATAATATACAAAATCCAATTTATCAGAAAAAATAAACTATTTCTCTTGGCTGAAAATAAAAGATGTTGGTAAGAAATAACACAAAAAATTGCACATATCCCAAAATTTTCATCAAGTCTCAAAACATTGTACACATTTCCTACAAGTCTCAAAGTTTTTCATTTCTTTTAAAGTTCTAAAGGCCTGGATTCACTTGTTAATATAGCTGCACAAACACTGATTCTTGTTGTTTTCCAGGTGATTAAATTGGGTGGATTCAAAGAAAATCAAGCTAATCAAGAAAACACTCTTTTGAAAAATTTTGTCATTGTTGCATTTATTAAAAAAATTACCTCTTTTTAACAAGTTGAGGAATTGTTTTTTCATATTTTTGTCTCACTCAATTGTGACCTCAATTCAAAATTTTCCATCCATTTCATTCCTACATCTTCTCATCAATTTAACCCTTTAAATCCCAAGATTTCACAAATAATTCTCTTTACTGTCTGCCATACAATTTATGTGATGTTAGTTTGGAGAATTTGGCATTGGATTAACCAATAATCCCCTGATTGATATTTTTAGTTTATTCCTATTACTTGTCTGCTTGATATTCCTATTACTTGTCTGCTTGATATCATACTGATAGTGGAGAAATTCTGTCTAGGTTACTAGTGGGACTTATTCATGTAGTCATCATGAGCTACATACATGTAATTACACAGTACATTTCAAATACATCTTTGTACATGTACTCATATAAAATGATCAAAAACTCTTTCTCCTCATCCTTCCAATTTCCTTCAGTCTCTTGCTTTTTTTCCTATGATTTACTTGTAGCTCTTCTATTCCAACTTTATCATCAGTCATTGTTATAAATTAGCCATGGTTGCTAAGAAATATTTTTAACATAGTGCAATGCAGATGTTAATTAATGCGTTTTTAAGTAGAAGGCATAAATTGTATGTAGGCAGCTTATAGAAGCTCAGTCTGTACTCTAATGTTTTTTCATTTCAGAGAAAATAAATGGCAGTTTTGCCTGACATACATGAAAAATTTTTCTGCTGGCTTCAGCTGACACACTCTGCCATGGAAACTAGTCAAGATTGCTTCCATGCAGGCTAGTCTGGGCAAGATAATTTTAAAGTTTTGGAAGCCTGGGGCAAAATTATTTTCCTGTTTCCAAACTGCTAAATCGGTATTTGCATCTCATTTTTCTCATGCACCTGAAGTTAAAAATATTTCCCTTTCCTTAAATGTATCCATTAAAAAGGTTTTTTAGTATAACCAGGCTATTAGACCTAAGGGTCTGAAGCTGATTAAGTCAAAAGTCAACTTTATGAGGACAAAAGCCTGTGTATGAACAATTTCATTAATGGTTATGTTGTGAGATAGAAACTTAAATTTGGGAGAAACAAAATGAAAAGAGAGTTTGACAACTCTTATACTACTTTTCCTGTTTTTAATGGTACCTAACAATAATCTGAGTATTTAAGCGATGGTTTAATGAATTAAAATAATATACAGTGTCTGGGAAAATATTTTAGTCTCTAGTTTTCTCAGATTTTGGGGCCTTGCACATGGATGATTTTACCATTTAACAACCCCTCTTCAATCTAGAATTCTCAAGACGATTAACAGTGCTCCAAGTTGCGAACATTTTGGTCACAAATTGGCGAGTGGGAAAACTTTTTCGCCATTACATCTTTTGGCGACTATCCTATGATTTTAGGTTGGCTAATGGCGACTTTAGAAAAAGGTTTTACCAGGACTCCTGATTAACTGAAGTTTGTCTGAATTATGTGATGGTTGTGATTAAAAATAAAATAAATTACTTCTGAAATTTGAAGTGCCAAATTTCAGTAGTTCATAACAAGAGAGAGATTCAGGTATTCATTAACTCGAAATGGCACTCAGTTTCACTGTTCTGATTGAATTGATACACATGGAATCTCTTTTTTCTTAACTTAAACAAAATAAACAAAGTAAACCTGATATTGATCACATCCGTCAGTGGAACACGGTATTAAGCCGAATGTCCATACTAATCTAGCATAATTGGTATCTTGGTATTTAATTGTAGTAAACTGATTTCAGAACATATGTAACATAAAATAATACTTTCCTGTGGAATATATACGAGAAAATACTTTACTTCCTCAAACTTTTGCTAATAAAAAAAATACAAGATGTAAAGTTCATTAGGCGTAAAGCTGAAACTGTGACGTGGATAACTTTCACGATCGAAAAAAAAATATCCGTGTTACCTTCGAACTCTTCTTCTTCAAATTCATCTCCAGCGACTAGAGGCTGAAGTATGTCCTCTGTTAGCCTGTCGGCCTCTTCAGTTGAGCGACGTGTAGGCGATCGAGACTTCGCGAAAAAAACCTTGAGTTCGGAGCTGTTACTTGCGGCATAATCCATCGCTCAAATGAACTCGGCTTGGTCCGATTGAAGTTTTGATGAAGAGTTAATTCTCTAAACGATTTCGTTAATTATACTCCACTAGCGTTGAACATCAACTTCGTTCACGACAGTTTCAAAAATCTGTCATTACGGTAAAATTGACTCGTTTAGTTCAAAAAAATTTTCGAAACAAATTCGCCGCCATGATAACAAACCGGTACCCATGATCCAACGGGAACGCTAGGTCACGGAAGGAAAGAAGCAAAGGAAAACACTCGTGCCATAGTTATTATTAGTTTTTTTGGGGGGGGGGGGGGGGATGGAGAGCAAAAAAAGCCTTCCAATGGATGAGTCGCCAGTAATCGGATTCTAGTGTTTGTACAAAGATTTCTGGGATCACCACGGGGAAAACATTGCAAGTTGCCAGAAGGAATTGTGTGGCGAAAGGTTGTTTCAACGTCCAATCTAGAAACAACTTTGGAAATAGATTAACGCTTTAACGCGTAAGGTTTTTTTTAAAATCATCATCGCGTGATGGTCTGGCAGTATTCCAAAATTAGCCATAAATCGCCAGGAAATAATTCAATTAAGTCTTTCCAGTTCTATTTATGTGTGTAAAGTTATACCATATTATGAATCAAGTTCGAGTCAATTCAAACGTTTTTTTCATCAAAATGATAATGTTGAATTTTCTTGTTTTTCTCGTGATATACAGGTTTCTCTTGTTCAAAATTTTCAGAGCGAGTCATGTTATATTATGTGTGGAATACGTAAAGTATGATATGCGCTGAGTCGTATGCATGTACAAAGAAGTGGAAAGTTGTAACGAGTAATCAAAGCAGCAGTTGTGGTTATCACAAGGGTTCACATATGTCCTAACGGACATATGTGAACGGTCTAGGAGCGCCTAACAACAATTTAGAATGTGAGGAATTTTTGCCTATGATGAAATCGAAACAGATGAAATAAGCTGTTTCAACTAAAGTACGAACAGGTTTGTGTGTTTTGTTTTAATTCTTTTGCGGTTACAATAACAGTGTATTACCTTACGATGTTATTTTACAAAGAAGGGAAAAATTTTAGTTGACTCGAACTTGAATCGTGACTCGAACTTGACTCGGGCTCGAACTTGACTCGTGAAATGATTTAACTCTCACAATAAACCTTACACATAAATGCGAGGAGAAAAGTTTATCGCGTATATCGGTAGGTTTTAACAAATATTTCATAGTTATTCGAGCAAAAACTTACGCTTCCCTCATATAAACTTTAGCTAGAGCTATTTCTGATAAAACAGTAGCGAAATAGCGATGATAGTTGATCTAGGTCCAAAGCCGTTTCTCGGTCGAAACAACCCTGCAACGTTTACCCCGTCGCGATCCCAGAAATCTTTGTGCGCATGCAAGGTCGATTACCGGCAACTCACTGCCTTACAAATATTCTTCCATTTAATTTTTCTATGCAAGGCAAACCGAAATTCTACTTCATTTTCAATAGTCTCTACCCGAAGCTATTTTGAGGTCTCCGTTCTTCCAACAAGTGAAAATGTATTGAAAGAAGAGAAAGTATCACACTTAAAGGCTTCTATGTGGGTCTCTGTTTGGTTGAATAAAAATGCGTGATAAAATGCAGGTTGTTTACAAGGAATTGGCACTCGATGAGGTGAAGTCCAAGGTAACTAAACGCGAATTTGATGAGTAGAAAGAAAATTGACTTCCAATTGTACTTTTATTCAGAAGGATAGGAATATGTCGTAAAATTTTGGTTGTTTACAGGAAAACGACATTCGTCTCAGAAATCTTAGTCAATAAATACAACTAAACACGTAATGTATCGGGAAAATACTGGTTAAAAAAGATGCAATTTATGGAGAACTTTTAAAAGCAAAGACACGAAAATTTAACATGGCAGTCGATACAGAAAGTAGATATAACTTAATGATCTTTTCAACCTTCGCCAAAAGAGACATCATGAGGCTAAAAAAAGATTATCGATCAAATATACGTTATGAAAATGCTTTGAGCAATTTTTACCTGGGTCATCCAAAACAAACGCTCCCATGATAGCTTCGTGTGAGACCTTTTGCTGACGGCTTGTGCGTTGTACGTGAGGAAGTGATACACAAAACATTTTTTAACTTTTAAATGGTAGAAAAATTCCCTGCCGACATTTGTAACCCAGACAGCTCATAGCGACGAGGTCCACACGAAAGAAATAAATTATTTCATTGATGTGTATTTCATTGATTGTTTTATTGATGTGGTTCCCAGTGTGCGCAGCAGACCATTAGTAATAAGCTCCTGGTCAACCTTGGGACACTTTTTCGACACCATAATTCCATGACATAAGGGACAGTACCCTGACGCTCTGATTGGTATAAGCATACCCCAATGCCGTGATCTGATTGGTGCGAGACTCATCCCCTAATGCGGCAATTTGATTGGTGCGAGATAATCCCCATAATACTGCGATCTAATTGGTGTGAGTAACATACCATTTGATGCGCTAACATAGATTTTTTTTTGTTTATTTATAAAGATAAAACTGAAAAATATAGAACATAAAAGACCCTGAGCAAGTCGGGTGTTTCCCAGCATGCATAGCCTCCCTACAAGGATCATTTTAGAGGGAGACAGATGGAATGGGGTAAAGCTCATTCAAAATCGAAGTGCAATGTAAGGGTCTGAGATCGCGGTTCGTCTCACTCTTCCAGGCGAGAAATTATGACTGGTCCGTAGTCTCCATTTTCCCTGCCATTTGTAAGCTTTCCGCACTCCGCAGTCTCCAGTCTCGCGCCGGACTCGCTTTCACAAATTTAGCGGTAATGCTCAGTTCTTAGTATCAAATCTGTTTAAACAGCCTCTTCAGTGCTAGCTATTACTTTTCCTACTACTGTAACACTTAAATCCAAGTAGAGACTTAAATTAAACGTAAATTTTGGACAAAGTTGATTCCATATCAAACTTATCCTATAGAAAACTGAACATTTGCTTAAATTGGTCCCAAGCCTCCGTATTACTCACCTGACATGCGCAGGGCAATTAAATATGCAAAAAGCGCCAATGTTAAAAATGGCGGCTAACAGAGTGAAGCGGGAGCGTAAGACTCCGAAGAGATTTATTGACGAATTCGCCGAAGCTAAGACCAAGCAATGCAAGAAAATAAAAACTACGGATAAGAATATTTATCCTGTAGAGATAATACAGGTCGACAAAGCGAGAAACATGGTCAAAATTCATTTCAAAGGGTACAGCGAGAAATTTGACGAATGGAGGCCATGCGATGAACATAATTTGCCCGTAATGCGATCGGAACCGATGTCAAAACCAACCGATGATTCCTTCAGCGATCGCCTGCAAACTTTTTATGAACGCGTTTATAGGGAGATCAAGCGAAATTTGTACTCCGGGCGCAGAGAGGATCCAGAAGTTCGTATTGAAATTCAAGTCGATGACGACGTTTTCTATAAAAGTCTTGGAAGGATTTCATCCAAAAAATATCAGAGGAATAAACTAATATATGAAATTCTTTCAAATGAAACTCTGGATTGTTATATCGGCACAAAGTGGAATGAGCGGATCATGAATGAAAACGGCGATTTTGCTTATGTTGTACCAGGAACTGTGAGATTTTGGTTGACAAAAAGAAACCCCATAGTGGAATTTAAATTAATTGGCGATAAATACGTGAGATCTGAAATCGAAGACGGGCATCAACTCGTTTTTACATTTGTCCGTGGAGATGGCAACAGATGTGGATACAAAAGTATGGTCCATCATTAATATATTTGATCTAGCACATGTTTATTGATTTTGATAGTTGATGTCAAAGAATTATTTTACTTGCATGTGAATTACCTTCATAATATGTAAACATGTGGTTATAAATGACTCATATATTTCAGTCTGTGATTCTGTTGTAATCAATGCAGTAACATTTTTGAAAAACTCCTTGAATGCTGTATACAAGAAACATTTCACAGGCATAGCAAATTATTATACACAACTTCTACTAACAGTTTTTGGTAATACACTCCTTTAATACATTGATATATTATATGATCACTGATTGATTAAATCACATCTTGGCCTCCATTTACCATCTATTTTAACAAGATGTGCACAGAAAGTGGGAGCATCGCATTTGCTGCATTTTGCAGCACATGTTTTGATGGTATGGCCAGAAGTTGAACAGTTTCCACAGTTGTAACTTTCCTTCACCCTTTCCAAACCAGCAGCTTCCAAAAGCTGTATTCTGTGTTTTTTCAAGAAAAGTTGCTTTAGAGCAGAAACCCCTCTATGATTAGATGATCTAAAGTAGTCCTTTGATACAGTGTCATTGTACTTCTCCATACCTTGCTGAGTGTAATAAGATAAATTTTGGTAGAGCTTTAAAAATTCAGGTACATGAGCATACAAAGAATGCATATATGGTGTTACATCTTTTGCTTGGTAAAGGTCTAAGAATTTTTTAAACCATTTTTTGATTTTGTCTTTGAGGCTAGAGATAGCATCATCTGTAGTGTAATTAAGTTTAAGATCACCCATAATATCTATGAAATTATCCCAAAGGGCTTGCAGCTTGTCCACATTATGAAACTCTGGTAATAGTAAGTGAAAATTGATATGTTGGAAAAGCAAGAGTTTTTCAGGTCCAGTAAGGTCTCTGTACTCCAACTTCTTGCTGTCCCTATTAATTTTCCATTCAAAATTAATTCCAAGTTCTTTTACAAATTTCTCATACCCAGCCATATGTCTATACTTATTTCGACAAAACCCATTTGAAAAAGTAGATACCTTGTCAATGGCATCTTTCCTGCGAAGTTCCCTGATCAGAAGTTCAATTAAATTATCAGATATTCTCAAAAATAAATGTAGAGTATCAATTATTACATGGTCTATAGGAATAAAATCAAATAATGGATTAGTTTTACAATTATATTGCTTATATTTTGCATACTTACCTATTTCTTGTAAATCTCTTTCCCCAAGAGATTTGTCAGTTATAGACCACTTTTTACTGATGTCAAACCTTTCATTTCTTGGGCACTTACACCAAATACAAGAGAAATTTTGATTAGCAGCCCCTAAACCACAAACACAGGCTAGAAACTTCCAGTCTCCTCCCAAAAAATACTCAATGCTATACTTATGACTATTTACAGTTATTTCTTTTAAATTTGACATTTCATTATTTAGATCAGCAAGGCTTTCTTTAAGATTGTCATA